TTAAATTAATAAATTCATGTATTTATAAATGTTATTTTCAATTTTATACGATTTAGGATGAAAAGATATTTTGATGTTGTACCCAATTTTAAAGAAACCTAGAGTACCAGGAGTAGTTCAGGTGTTAATTCAAATGATTCCCCATTAGTAAATGAAGAATTGGATCAATTTTTTTATTAGTTTTATACTTGTATTAATTAGAGATTAGAGATATAAAAGGGTAGGGACCCCGTGGCTCTGACTTTCTGGGTCCGCCACTGAGCGGTACGGTTACAGTTTTGGAAATTATCTCACCGATTAACCAGTAATTGTAAGTTCATACGCAGACACTACACACGAACAATAAATTTTGACAAAGGTATGCTGACAGGAAAGTGAAAACTTCGTATCAGTTTTGGAATTCTTGTGTATGTATATTCACGTCCATACATAGTGGATTATACATAATTAAGCTAGTGACATGTATACATTTTCTTTAGTGTTATATGTATAAATAAATGGTACTCCCTCTATCCCTTAAAACTTTGCCAACTTTCCTTTTTTGGATGTCCCACTAACTTTGTCATTTTCCCTTTCTAGTAAAGAATTTGTGGTTCCAATTAATTCTCTCTCCTCTGCACAAACCTCAACCACACAGTTTTTACTTTATTAATCTCCGTGCCGGTCAAATTTGGCAAAGTTTTAATGGACGAAAGGAGTATAACCTAATATGAATACATAAATATAGGAACATATAATATGGAAAAGTAAAAGTACGCACACATGGAAAGATAATACGGTGTAATACGGACCAACTAAAGTTTCGGAGTCGGGGAGTTTTTTTGGAAAAGTTCCTGCTATATAAAAGTTTCTAATTTGATTTTGGGTTGCTTATGTATTTTTTAACAAATCAAATGTTTAATACGGAATAGTTTGATGAGTTTATTCTTTTCTTTTTCATGGTTTTTGGTTAATCGATTAGTGGTTAACCGAAATTTTGGTTAACCGATACTCGGTTAACCAATGTTACGGTACGGATAATGATATTAACAGTATATTAACCAACATCGCGGTTAACCGAAAATTGGCGTCGCCAGTGACGTATTTTCTGACAATTTTACGACCGGAAAGTGTAATTTTTGCGGGAAAAGTCCTTCAATTGCAAAACATTATTAGTTACATGACCAAATCCACAATCGAGTAAAGTTACAGGACTCATAACGGGCACATTCAAAAGTTACGGGACTAGAATTGCAAATTTCCCCATTAAGTTTAAATGAGTCCTATAGAAATATTATATTATAAAGTTCACCTAGTTTAAGAAGTGAAAAAGATACTTCCAAAAAAGTGAAAAAGATGTTATTTTTAAAATTTGGGAATATAAGTAGTATTGCGAATGAACTTGTATACATTTCAATTTTAGATGCATGGTGCAGATTTTTCATGAGTCTTAACTTTTGACTTGTAATGAGTACGTTAATGGAGTCATAGTATATCAAAATGGATTATATTTCAATGTTCTACATTCTCAAATTTTCAGGGGTCAGTTGATCGGCCACCTTGACCCCCTCACTTAACTTCGTCACTGACTCATTTTGTTGCCATGCATGTAGCATGCATATATATCAGCCATATGCACTAATATAATAAATACATACTTCGTATAACAAAGAAATCCATATGAATATATCGAAGTAAAATATAGGCAAAATGCACAAATGGAGAATAATTATGTTTTATTCACAAAATAGGAGTTACCCAATATTTGGTTATATTAAAGAAAGCATAAATAAAAACCCACCGTTTTGGTTATATTAAAAAAAGCATAAATAAAACCTCACCATTAGATTTTATCTAGTGGTGCATTTTATTATACTTTACTCATATTTGTGTATTGTGTCTATCTTTTATTCCTATTTAATTAAGTGATTTTCTCAATAAATATACGTGTTCAAGGGTAACTCCTATTATGTGTTCGTGTAGGTTCTAAATTGCAAGGGTTAAGGCAAGATTAAGCATAATTACATTGATCAACCTTTGAACCATTGATCGACCAGAAGAAATATTGAACTCATGAAGGCGGTTAATTAATTAATAAATTCACAACGTTTTCTAAAGCGATTTTGTCCATATGAACAATTCCCTTTATTTTTATGAGTAAAATAAATACTGCTCGTATTAATTATAAATAGGCGAGAAGACTACGTACATAAGTACAACACCACCAAAAAAATCTCCACCTAATCAGGGGCGGACCGTAGTAGAGACCCAGGGGGGCTACCGCCCCCCCCCCCCCAACAATTTTTTTTAGTGTATATATATACGAAAAATGATTTTTGCTCTTCCAAAAAGTATTTTGACTCCCCCAAAAAATATTTTCGCCCCCCAAAATGACTTTTCTGGGTCCGCTCCTGCACCTAATTAATTCTTTGCATAGAATATACTTGTAATTTTTACGTATAAATTTCAATATATGCTCGATCGGTATATCTCTAGCTATGTTTCAATCGAAGTTCTTTCACTTTTACACTATTACATAACTACATTTGTTAAAGTTCTAGAAAGACGTAAAATCTATATTAGAATATGATAAGAATTAATATTCTAAACAAAAATTAGAACCAAATTGTGTTTAGCTAGATAAGTACATACCCGCAAATCATTATAGGACCGAAGAAGTGGATATAATATATAAAAGCAAAGATAAATAAAAACCTATTTCATAGAGCATCTCCAATGCTACAATGTGCACGGTGCACATGTGGCATGAGAGATATAAACACAAAAAATTGAATTTATAACATTTCTCTCTCATTCTTTCCATGGTTTTATGTATTTTTGGTAAGTTTTCCTGTGCAATGTCAAGCATAATGTCTACATCTAGACATTGTGCTTGATATTGTGAATAAAAACTTAACAAAATGATATTAGATCATTCAAATAAGAAGAGATAAATTCTATTTATTGTTTTTTAATTGTCTATCTCTCATGCCACATATGCACCGTCCACCTTTTAGCATTGGAGATGCTCTTATCGTTCCAATTTTATTGGATGTTCATGAAGGGACAAAAAGTTATTTCTAAGTTGGAACATTACATTATTTTATTTCGTAAGACCTACGTCATTATATTTAGTACGTAATTAGCACGAAGCCTTTTAAAAATTGAGACCGCCTTGAAATCCATGCAAAGCCAAGCTTTTGGAACTAAAAAATACCCAATAATTATTTATTATTGCTTAATTTAGAACAAAGTTATTATTATTTAGTTCACTCACATATGTTCAAAGGAGAATCTACGTTGGGCTATAGTAGGCTAGGTTCTAAACAGCTTATTTTTCTTCAATTGTTTAATGTAAGTTTTTCACTTTTCATAATTAGCCCACCTCGATAATGTCTAACTCTTGCATAATTACTCTTCATCTCAGGCTTACTAATACTCTCTGATGTGCTTAACATGAAAATGTACGTTATTCCAAGATTATGCATGTGTTTGTTGTCAGGGGCGGAGGTGGAGGGGTGGTCCACCAGGCCCTGACTCAGTCCAAATTTTAAAATTGTTTGTATTTTTAATGTAAAAATTTATGTGTAAAAATTTATCTGTAAAAATTTTTTGTACCGACCCAGTCCAACTCTTACTCCTGATTACGCCCTGTGAATGGTTGTTGTTGAAGGGTTTGGATAATGTGATATCAATGGCCGGGAATGATAGACAAAAGCTGATCTTAAGTTTGGTAAACAACTTTAATGAGTACGGAGGAAAAGCACAGTACGTGGCTTGGGCTAACGAGAGGGGCCAATCTCTATCTTCCGATGATGATTTCTTCACTAATTCAGTAGTCAAAGAATATTACAAGAATCACATTAAGGTAATTATTAATAACTATTTTAATCATAATCATTATCACACTTTTTATGTTTTTTTTTGGAGGATGATTTCTTCAGTAGCTCTGTATACAGTCGAAGGTTTTTACAAAATATGATTGTCATGTTTTTATTGACACTTGGCACACTAAAATATAATGGGAAAATTCCCGAAAAAAGAGTAAAAAGTTTGGGAATTCTAAAATATGATTGTCATGTTTTTATTTCTTAAATTAAATAAAAGTAATTATTGTCAAGTGGAAAATACTATCATATTTAAAATCTGATGATGTCAAAACATGACAGTAATTATTCCAGTTTAAGGAATTAAAAACATGATAATTCTATTTTGAAATATACAAACATTTTTTGGCCCTATTAAGAATAATTTCCAAATAAAATTGAAGTTCAACATCAAATTTTGGAGCAAAAAAATTGGAAATTATCGTGCGTATTAAATTTGAAATCTGCACATATGGTATGAATAATAATGCTTAATTACTTTTCTGGATTTACTCTTATCTTAAACAGACTGTGCTTACGAGGAAGAACACCATTACTGGAACTGCATACAAGGATGATTCTACAATAATGGCTTGGGAGCTGATGAATGAACCCAGATGTCCCTCAGATGTGTCTGGAAATAACCTACAAGTTTGTCTTCTTCATTTCATACTCCCCTATATTATTATTTTCTAACTAATTTTAATACGATTCTTATATATCGTTTTACTGTACTAACTTCAAGTAATTATAATGACTATACAATTTGAAATAATATTAAAGATTACATAGAATAGTGCACTTCAAATGAATGATCATCATTACTGCGAGGTGCATTTTAGGAAGTCAAAGAAAAACTCATATTATGTATGGAGTATATTTTATTAACATACGTGTTATTAAGGAGGTGTTTGGAACTGATTCTGCTTCTGCTTCTTTTTTTAAAGCAGAAGCAGAATCAAAATCGGTTTTCAGAAGCTGCTACCCCCCAGCTTCTAAAAAACTGATTCTAGGAGTAAATTAGAGCACCAGAATCACTTCTGCATTTTCACCCAAACACTCCAACTTTTGCTCCCTGAAGGAGCAGAAGCAGTTTTAAGAATTAGATCCAAACACCCCTAAAAATAGGAAATTCTTTAAGAGGAGAGGAGAGTAGTAACATTGCACTTTAGAATCAAATTAGCTCTTCAAAAACTATATAATTTAGAATTGATTAGCATAAAAAAAGAACTTTTCCCACAAAAAGACCCAATGCATGAACTTCTTATGTTTGTTTTTCCAGAATTGGATCAAAGAAATGGCTGCCTACGTGAAATCCATCGACAATAAGCATCTGCTACAAGTTGGACTGGAAGGCTTTTATGGGCCATCAAATGCTGAAAAAAATCAGGGAGTGACTAGCGGCTCTCAATTTGGGACTGATTTCATTGCCAATAATCAAATTCCTGAGATCGATTTCACCACTGCTCACGCTTATGCCGATGTCTGGTATGTAAGTTCACTTTCACATATTTTTAGTATAAAGATCTCTGGTTCAGACCCGAGCACATTCCAATCCGATTCCAAATCGGGATTGCCCAGTTTCAGGCTGACATTCGACTTAAATGTAATAAGAAACCTGCAAATTCACCGGAATAAACCAGTTACGTTGTACTCTCAGCTTAGTTTCAGTTCCTGTTAGAAAAAAATGAATGGTTCAAGTCCAAGTTTGGGGAATCCTGGAAGGATTTAGACCAGTTCTAGTCTGAGAAATGAGCCACCAGTCCCATCTTTTTTCATCAATAAAGAACCAGTTTGTATTTTTTTTTAATTTATAGAATTGATCTAATTCTCACTCATTTTGAACTTTATACTTGGTCTATGGAGGTTGAATGGAACGAGTGATGAAGATCAACTCTCGTTTCTGAGAAAGTGGATTGACGTCCACATTGAGGACGCGCAAAACATTCTTAAGAAGCCTATGATCTTATCAGAGTTTGGGAAGAGCAAGACAGATCCCGGGTTCACTGTTGCAAAGAGGGACAAGCTGATGAACACTGTTTACTCAGACATTTACTCTTCTGCTAAGGGCGGGGGTGCAGCGGCTGGCAGCTTGTTCTGGCAGCTGTTTCCAGAAGGCATGGAAAGATACCAGGATGGTTATGCAATCGTCTTCAGCGAGAGTCCCACAACAGCTGACATCATCAGTCATCAGTCGTCCAAGCTGAGCAAACTGCATACGATGCCCGCCAGGCTTAAAAACATGGAGTGGAAGAAGGAAAATATGAGTGGGCTTGCAAGAGAAAACCATGACAGTGGCAAACCTGTTAGCCATGGAAGAAGATGAAAAAGAACCTAACACAATAAATTCATACACAAATTAATAAACAAATAATTGCGGTCTATCGCTTTGTTTATGAAATATATACACCAAACATGTCTATGATTTGAGTATTTAACTGAACTGAAGGATGTGTTCTGTCTCAACTAAAAGATTAACTTATATTGATAGTTGGACTACACATCTATTTATTTATATTATCATCCCCTAACTCCAAAGTCCTAACGACACATCGTCTGAGAATAGTTTGAGAAGGAAAAATGAACTTTTTAGGTGAAGCTTTCTTAAATGATGGTCCCGTCCTTGATAGTTGCGTTCTTCAGAATGATCGTGATCCCAGACCTAATGTAAAAACCTTCATCTGCCCTGTCTGCTTCATCAACTCCCTGCAATGTGAAATAGCAGGTTTTGAGTTTACCAAGATGATTAGAAATATGTTCAGGTGAGTCATTGGATAGTTTGGTAAGGGTTATTTGGCTACCAATGGATAGTAACATTCATTTCAGCCAAATAAGTCAGAAATTAATCACATTCAGTTCATTTATTCTGATGATAAGCAGATTCACCACACAGAACCTAAACTAAATAATAGCAGCGGATGAATATACTTACATCCTTGTTTGCAATAACCACGTCTTTTCCTATTTTGGCATTCTTGTCGATGATGCAATTTCTGGTCACAAAACGTGAAACAACACTTGGTAAATTATCATTAAATCTTCGCATCTTCAACGTATAAATCAGACAGTTTTTCAACTACACTCATCGCAAGTCTCAGAGTTATGATGTCACATCACTTTACATGTGAATTGGAGAAGCAAAAGTATGGATAAATAATCATTATCTCTTGTAAAATAAATTGGACCTAAGATATGATTAGCACTAAGTTTAGATATGGTACCAAAGTATAGTCCCATTGTGGCTTGTTCGTTTGCCATCCAATAATTTGGGCAGCTTGCTTGGAAAGAGTTAGATCCAATTTAATAGTCCAACCACATAAGTGTACAAGTATATGATATTTTAATTTCTCTCTGTAACAGTTGCTCTGATACCATTGATAGAACTCTGGTAATCGCTAGATCAAAACAGTATAGAATCAATAGGAAATGAAGAAGAAAAGATTGGAAATTCTTATTATCACGGATGAACTGAACAAAGAAGAATACAGTAGCCTTGGACGATTCGAGATGCCCAGTCTCCCAGTTCTAAGTCCGACAGAATACTTGCCTACCTTATTTCCTTCCTTCCCCATCTATTTATACTACTACAAGTACACTTTCTATTATTAGCCTACAAGTACACTTTCTATTATTATTATTATTTCTATTATTAGCCTAAGCCAGATTCCTATCAAAGGATTGTGGTGATTTCCAATAGCAATGCCATGACAATCAATGCACTATATTGAATGTAATTTTACTCCCAGTTCTTAAAATCCCCGTCAAAGTGCTAGGCTCCAAACCAGTCACTTGAACTTTGAGAATTTTAGAACATTAGCTTTACCCTAGAGTTAGGGTAAATCTAATCACACATTCTTGATGCATCACAAGTGGTAATTATTATGACCATTTGGATTCACCTACCTGATTTTGGTGTTTGCGCCAATCCCAACAGGAACCTTCCCATCAGCTAATAGAGAAGCAATCTCTGCTTCTGTCTGATAGTAGTCTGCGCCCATCATCATTGTATCCTGAAATATTTACCCACTTAATGCCCATAAAGCAGGAAAAGTGTCCTCTAAAAACCATCTTATTTCACATGCCAAATTATTAGGACACTGGACACACAATAGTGATTAAGAGCATCGTGAAAATTTAACAAAGAAAATGAAACTGATATGGAAGGGTACCTCAAGCTCCACGCCATTATCTAATCGTGACCGTACACCGACTATGGAGTGTTTAAGAGTACACTCCCCCAAGAAGCAACCATGTGAGATTATAGCATCCACCATCTGAACCCACAAAGAAAAGAAATCAAAGCAATTAGGTAATAGGTATGCCCTATTATTAAAGTCCCAGGTAAGAGGTGATGCCATACCTTGCACTTGTCAGCCTTAGTAGGAGGTAAGAATCTTGGTGAGGTGTAGAAAGGAGACTTTGGGTCATTGAAGTCAAACACAGGAGACTGCATAAGATTATGAAAACTCATAAATATATACAGGTAATCAAGAGTAAAAACTGAAGAGTTTGTTCACACTCTCACTTGAGCTGAATATGATATAACAGACCAATAAAAAAGATTCACAAGAGTGATATCTTCTATTCTATCGCCAAAATAATGAGTTGAGTTCGTATCGGCATTTTCGATGCTGCTATTGAAATAGCTTTTCTGGCAATATTTTTTGTTACTCCAACCCATTTCATAAAGGATCCGACCAGGTTTAACAACAGCAACCCAATATTCAGATTATCCTCAAGTCTAAATAGTAAACTTTCAGTGAAAATTCAAATGTTGTAATCTAAATTATAGCTTTTAACTCAATATGTTCCATATGGTTATAGAGATAATAGAAAAAAACCTGCTCGGTAAGGGCTAAGTTCGCATCAAAGAAAGACTTTACTGTCCCAATGTCCTCCCAGTAATCACTAAACAAATATGCCTGATAAACAAAAACATAATGAACTAGTTGGACAAAACAGTCAAAAGTATTGTGGGCAACTGTATATCATGATATGTGACACTTACTTGGACATTACGGTCCTTGACTGCAGCAGGGATGATTTCTGAGCCAAAATCATTGCACGAAGGGTGTTGTGACGTTAGAAGATCTAATAGAACCTGGGTTCTAAAAACATATACACCCATGGACGCAATATAAGGGTATTTCTTAGCCTCCTGATCAGAAAGCCCTAGGATAGATGTGTCAATTCTCTGCAATACAAAACAAATTATGGAACTGGAATCTAGGATACTTAAGGACTTAAGGAGGCTACTAGTCAAAGAAAAATAATCCAAATACCCAAAATGACCATAAACTTTAAACAAAGCAGAAAATGTGTTTGACCTGAACATTAGATGAACTTCTATCCCATGAACTAAGTAGAGTAACTCGCTAAGAAAATATTACACTTTGGTCGCACATGTATTAGGTTATCCCAATTTTGGTCCCGAACTTTCGGTTTTCCACTTTTGGTCCAACACTTCAATTTTTTTGTCACTTGTGCTTTTACCGGCAACTTATTCGATCAAACTTTGGTTGCTTGTCATCGGATAAGTGGCCATAAAGGACCAAAAGTGGATAAAAAATGAGATCCTACAAGTGACCAGACCAATATCAAATTCTTTCACTCAGTAATGACCTTGACTTTCAGAAAAGTCTAATGGATGCGCTTGAAAAACAAAAACAAATAGACATACCCAGTTGCAACTAACAAGTTGCAACAACAAAAAATCAGCATAAACGCAGGTTTAAATACGATTTGAGCTAACTTTTTTATTTAATTTGTTTACTTGTAGATGAAATTGCTTACGAGTTTCTTTATGTAACAGGTCATCGAGCCAATTTGGCCATTTTAATATTCAGGGTAATCAAGGTTAATGTTAAAATTCATAAGGTCAATTTGGGCATTTGGAAGAAAATGCGGAGTTCAGAATTTTTTACAAAAAGATGTTGCTTAGCACTAGGTTATGTACTTCAATACCATTGTTTTGACAGCAGGCCCTTTAAGTTTCTCGGCGAATTGTACAATACGCCCGTTTGCATCAATCTTCATCAACCCATAATCTGAAGCACGGCTGCATAAAAGAACGAAAAAGAGATTGGTAAACAAGATGTTATAAATAAACTCAACAACAACAACATCCAAGCCTTATTCCATAAGAAAATTATACTTGGTCTAAATATCTTCAACAAGTGGAATGGAACAAAAATATAAACTTTCAGACAAAATTCGACCACAAACCTGTCATCCATGGGCACACAAGAAACCGTGATATCAGCACCAGTTTCAACATGTTTCTACATGTACAAGTCCCATTATCAAGAAGCATTAGTCTCAAAATACATGGAAAATACAGGAAGAGTAAATGCAGTTTGTCATGAAATAGTGAAGCCATACCCGAACAAAGTCCATATAGTCCATCCGGTAAAGATGGTCACCGGACAAAATTAATATATGCTCCACGTTCTTGTTCCTAGAATCCTGAACAATTAAAAGACAAGAAACTCAATTATCTTCTCATACCTCTCTTAGGCTCCAGCTGTTTCAATGAAAATAGCTTATTGAAGAAAATTTAGGGATAGTTTTGCATCTCGAAAAGTGCTTATGAAAAGAAAGAATGGTATGAAAGTTACTTTCTTATGTTTGAATTTACTTTAGAAAATGAAAAAAGGAAAAAAGATTATTACTCCGTAATATTTAAAATTACATATGTATAGATTGCTGCGTATTTACATACTAAAAATGAATTTGAACAAAATTGCAAATAAATTCATTCACTTTGAGCCAATGTTATTATTCTCAGCATTTTCTTCCAAATTTCTCCTACAGTTTCTTCTCTATTTTCTTTCCCTAGCATTTTCTGCATTCTAAGCGAACCCTGGAGGAACATGTTTTCCTGAAAAATATGTTCTATTTATAGTACTCCGTATATGTTTGACCTACAATACACAGGAAAGTATTTGACTTTCTTGGAAAAAGTTTTCCTGGGAGGCTGGAAAGTCTGAAAACATTTTCAAGGAAAATATTTCCTTGTAAACAAGCATAATGTTAACGCCAAAAACAATTATATGCATAACGACATCACACACCTCAAGCACCCATATATTTTGCCTTACTGCATCAGCAGTGCCTTGAAACCACCTTTTCCCTGCTTCTCCTGGCGTTTGTGTGGCAGCTAGAACCTACATAAGCAAAAAATCTCCTTTAGCCGCTTAAATTGCTAAATTTCACCCAATCTTAAAAATTATAGAACAACATTTGTTGGACCGAAATTGGACGGTAGCAGCACATAACGCTATCAATGTTGGTTGGGTCAAAGCAGTTACAGATTTTAAAGTTAAGAACTCCATACGATAAGCACAAGACTAATCACACCTCCACAAATCCATCGCCGAAATTGACTCCATTTCCAATGCTGTATGTTCTGGCAATATGACGATTAAGGGAGAAGGAATTAAATTGGGTAAGGATGAAGATTTTCCGGATCCCACTATTGATGCAGTTGCTCATTGGTACATCAATAAGCCTGTAGCAACCACCCATAGGAACCTGCAAAGTTGTTTAAGAGAGTCTCACTTAAACTAAATATGAAATTAAAAACCAACAAATAAAATGTTGGACTCTATAACATTGGCCTATAAAATAGCATTTAAGCATTGGCCCATAAAATAACGTTGGCCTATAAAATAAGAGAAAATTACCACATATATGACCAAAACATTGTGTGTTTCCCAAAATATGACATATCTTTTTTTCCTAATATGATGCCAAATAGCATGTACCATACACCGAGTGTTTCCTTTTTCTTATTTCATTCCATACATATTTAGTCATATATTGAGAAAGAATCATCCATGGTCATATTTTGGGAATTGGACTCTAGAATGACAAATCTACTTACTAAATCTTGGACTACCACTGCCATACAATTGACCTATAAGATAACAAACCAACATATAAAAGCTTGGATTGCTACTACTTCTGAGGATTGACCTATACAACAACAAACTCATATGTAAAATCCTTGACTACTACTACATAATAATGGATCTTTTAGACAGAACCACAAGTCTTGATAGCAAAGCAAATAACCACTTTCCAATAATAATAGAATTAACTCATTGCATAAACTCCTAATGATAACATCATAAACATCTTACAGCTGGTTTAGCGCGGTTTCTTGTAAGAGGAAAAAGACGGGTCCCAGCACCACCGCCCAGGATGATGGAGGCTACATTTCTTGGGTCAGCCTCTGGCTGATCTTCAAAATTCTGTGTCTCAAATGACTGAAACAAATATTAACCTTTACTTCAGATAAATAGATCCCAAAACATAAATCTGCATATGATCAAATTGAATAAATAAAAAAATAAATAAAAGAATTTGATCAGTGAGTGAATCTACATACCAGGAGTTGTTTGTTAATGTCATGAGTCAGCACAGAGTAGGTAACTCCAGGCTTAACTTTCTTAGAGCTTCTCTCATGGATCTCGGATTTATTAACACTAATGCCTCTATGTTTAAAGCTTCCCCTGATCTTCTCACCCCATAATCCACTATCCCCATAGCCAAACTTCCTTGAATTAGGCACTTGGTGTACATTAGCTTTAATCGTAGAAGCACACAGGGCATCCATTGCTGACACAGAATGAGCAGAAGTTGAAGTATAACAAAATATCCCAAAGATGAAGCAAACTATGTATGCATTCAAAACCAAGAATGAGAAGAAGTTGCTTACTAAATTGATCTCAAAGAAAAGACAATAGAAAAACCCAAAATATTTTTAAAAAAAATTAACAAAGCTGGTATGGTTTATGATAATTTGGGCAAAGAGATTCCAGACCCAGATGGCTTTTGAACCCAAAGTGACGAGAAAAGAAATAATGATTATGGGACAAAGTCAAATGTTGTTTGAAGATTAGTTCTTGGGCTTTATTGGCCAGTGATCACTCCGAGAAGTTGAAAAGGTGGATCGAAAAGACAGTGGGGGCTTCGATGATTCTTTAATTTTTGGCAAATCGAAGCTGTAATGAACACAAAGATCCAAGCTTTTTGTGCCCTACTGGTCTACTACTACTACTGATGGAGTGATGGAGGGTGGCATGGGTGTGAATCTCAGGAATTTAGGGTGGTAGGTGTGTAATAGAACAATTCTGCTTCGTTTAGGTCCGTCCGTGAGTCCATCACGTGGAAGACTATACACGTCGCCGTACCACCGTTGCCACGTGTACCCGTTGTTGGTCCACCAAATGACCAAAACACGTGTTACAGATGTCTCCCTCTTTCCTTTTTATGTCATTCTTTTGTTTTTTAAATACTCGATATTAAACCAGGAATAATTGAGATTATATGCGAATGTTTTGCAAAAATTGAAAAAGAATGTTCTGCGGTTTCTTTATTTATTTTTATTTTTTGATAGTCAATAAGCCTTCTTTCATATCATAAGTTTCAGGATCATTACATCAATCAAAAGAAAAACAAAACTGACACCAACTAAAATCCAACAACTACGACTGTAAATCATTGATCAGACTTAGAGACGGTGACCCCTGAAAGAGCAACGTGAATCGCAAATCATGTAGCGGGCTTGACACAGGCAACCATGTTCCCATAGATCCAAACATACTCAATGACACAAAAAAGACTGAATTCCCAAACAATTTGACAAATCTAACAACATAGACAAACCATGTAGCGGTTTCTTTATTTATTAAAAAGCTGGAATTAACATTCTCCGGGAATAAAATGTATTTAAATTAAACGCTTTAAACTTAAAAGTATAAATTTGATGTATGGGTGTTTTAATCTATTTTTCATTTTTTCTATTATACAAATAAGGGGAAATCGCACTTTTATTCCCTCAAATAGTCACGTTATTGAAATGTTAGATCTGTATTTCCGTGATTGTAAATGTCATCCTTCAATTGTCCAAATTGTTGTAAATGAGGTCCTTTGAGAGGTGAAATGTACTCCTCGTCCACATTGAACATTTCACCCCTCAAAGGACCACATTTACAATAATTTGAACAATTGAGGTATGACATTTACAATCACGGAAATACAGATATAACATTTCAATTATGTGACTATTTCAGGAACTAAAAGTGCGATTTCCCATACAAATAACTATAATTTTTATTTTTTTTCAAAATCATGTTCTACTAAACATTGTCATTCTTTTACATTTAAGTATTTTCTCAAAAATAATTTTAAATTATTTTCCCTGTATAACTAATAGTTATTTCTATGAGTAAGTAAAATAATTAGATAGTTAATATCCAAATAGTTATAAGGTTTAAATATGTTTTTAGTCCCTGCAAACGTAGGACATTTTGTTTTACATCCCTACAAAAAAATGTTTTTAGTTTCTGCAATTTATGTTAGTTTTCTTTTTAGTCCATCATCGATGATATCAACATCCGTTTGTTCTGAAACTAATCCCGGTTAATAGATTTCTTCTAGGGAAAATCGCATATATGGTCCCTCAGTTATCCACGAAATTAAAATCTCAGACCTGTATTTCTGAGATTGTAAATGTCACCCCTCAATTGTCCAAAATGCTGTAAATGTGGTCCTTTTGAGGGGTGAAATATACAATGTGGGCGAGAGTATATTTCATCACTTAAAGGACCACATTTACAACAATTTGGACAATTGAGGGGTGACATTTACAATCTTAGAAATACAGGTCTAAGATTTTAATTTCGTGGATAACTGAGGGACCACATATGCGATTTTCTCTTTCTTCTAATTCTTTGCCATGTTATTTAAAAAGTATTTAATTTTAAATTTTCAAAGGATTTTAATATATATTTTAAAAATGAGAATACTTAGTTTTACATTGTTTTATTTAGCTGTCATATTAGCCTCAAAATAATTATAAAAGGATATATTTAAATATTTCTAGTAGATTTATGCGACTAACAATAAATGTTTTTCTAAGTAGAGTGGTTTTTGAATTAGAGAAGGACTAAAAACAAAACAGGGCATATTACAGGGGTGAAAACCCAAAAAAATATTTTTCAGGAACCTAAAACAAAGTGTGTCATATTTGCAGGGACTAAAAATATATTTGAGCCTAGTTATAAATTATGTTGGGGAAATATACATGTATTTTGAGATAATTTTGTTGTTAGCAAATTTATGTAAATAATTACTAATAATTTTAATAAAAAGTACTCCCTCGTCCCGGAATTATCTTCATTCTTTCCTTTTCGGTCCGTCCCAAATTTATCTCATTTTTCTCTTTTTGGTAAAGAATATGTGGTTCACAACCATTCTTACACATTTCTTTCTCCTCTGCATAACTCTCCACCACACAAATCCCACTATCTTAAAACCCGTGCCCGGTCAAAATCGGAGTTAAATATGGGACGGATGGAGTAGTATAACTAGAATAACTAATAAGTAATAACCGATGAGTATTACTTCCTCCTTCTCATTTTACTTGTCTTACTTTCTTTTTGGAATCATCCCGAAATATAGTCATTTTTTAGAAAATATATGTGATACGTATCATTTCACTTTATTATTCTAAAATCTCAACCACAACTTTTACTTTTTCAATCATTTTATTACTCCGTAATAATTATTTCAAACCAAAATAAGACACACAAAATGGGATGAATGTAGTATAATTCTTTTTAGATAACCTGTAAATTTATAACTATACAAACAAAAGTTGTAATATAAAAGGGGCGAAACACCACTTGTATAAGAGAATAATCCTTTCAAAATCTCACAAAACTAGACATAACAATGTAGTTGTGTGTCTATTACAACCATTCAAACAAACATAAACACAAGATGCTACATAAACCAAACTTGATTGCACTTCACCTATACTTAATCAATCAAGTCTTCATTGAAAGAACCTGCACAGTCCAAAATTCACTCTCAAATCAAACTTCAGCCACCTAGAGTAGAGTACTCCAAGCTTATCAATGAAAAATCAATGGACTAACATCAAACTACTCGAGACCATATTTTCCCTGGACAATCTGTCAGAAAGTCATCATTTCCTTTGGATAGAATTTGTATAGAATTTTATAGCATCCGATCTTTATTTGTTTGATCACATCATCAAGAGGAGTAACGGTGTCTGCAAACAACCTCGTATTCCTTACTTTCCAAATTGTATACAATGTGCAGTTAAAATCATTCTAGCATCTTTACTCATTAGCCGTGGCCCTCTAAAGTTCTTTCTAAAAATCTCCACTGCACATTTCAGAGAAGACATTGGTCGTCCAACTCCCAGCAATATGAAAATATTTTTCCAAATACACTCCATCACCGAACACTTGAAAAGATGTGCTCGACTGTCTCCAACCGTCCATAACACATTGAGCATGTCGTATCCCCTTCTAAGAAGCTCATGTTATCAGCGGTAGGTAATTTGCTCCTAAAATAAAGCCAAACGATAAAAGAGAATCTAGGAGGTATGTAGTTCTTCCAAATGAAACACATCCAAGGCTTGGAGACACCTTTTACTCTAAGTAAATTATAAATTCCATATGGATTCATTTTCCCATTAACACATAGTGCTCCCGAGTGATTTATCAGTTTTTGCATATCAGCAAAATTCTCAAACAAAATGTCTCTAATTTCGGCTAGTTACTTAAGCAAAGATGAGCCCCCCTTATTGGGGGGCATTCCCAGATAGACACACTCTTCAAATATACCCCATAAAACCATTTTATTTGCATAGCATCCTTCTTAGAGTGTATTTCATAAAGTCTTCACTAATAAAGCATCATTCAAATTTTTTCCTTCTTAAAGTGTATATTCCATAAAGTATTTGCTAATAAAGCATCATTCCAAATTTTAGGCTCATTCAGCCCGAAGCCCCATTCTTATTAGTTGATTATTTAGTGAAAGAAGTCTACTTTGGTGTTTGTTCCAAAATGAGTTAAGATTCTCTCAAAGAAGACCCCGGGGAAACTAGATTTGTATCTGGACATTTTTGTATCATGTTGAGCAGGAACGGGACATGAAACCCACCACTGAACCACTCACAGATGCAGACCTGAAATTTATACTTCAAACATAAAAGTGCAGACTTGGAGCTTAATTATACTTCAAGCATAAAAATGCAGGCCTAGATTTTATATGTCAAACAAAATACACAGATCTGGAATTTCTACTTCCAACATATAAATGAAGACCTGAAATTTATGCTTGAAACATAAAAATGCAGACCTAGAATTTATATGTCAAACATAAAATGCAGACCTAGAATTTATACTTCAAACATAAAAATGAATACCTGAAATTTATACTTCAAACATAAAAATGCAAACCTGAAATTTATACTTCAAACATAAAAATGCAAACTTGAAATTTATACTTCAAACATAAAAATACAGACCTAGAATTTATACTTCAAACATAAAATGCAAACCTGGAATTTATACTTCAAACATAAAACTGAAGACCTGGAATTTATACTTCAAACATAAAAATGCAGACCTGAAATTTATACTTCAAACATAAAAATGCAGACCTAGAATTTGTACTTCAAACATAAAAATGACCAAAGATACAATATTTCAAAAGTGTTTACAATTTACACTTCAAAGTTTAAACATAAAAAAGAGGACACATGCATCCAATATCAAACCAAATGATAAAGTGAGGCAGGTTAAGTACCAACACTTTATAAATGATTACACATCCAACACTTACATGAACATATATATAGAAGGGGTACAAAAACCCAAGCATCCTTAACAAAATAACCTTGTGCAACGTAATCACAAATCCTTAACAAAATAACCTTGTGCAAGGTAATAAACAATCCTTAACAAAATAATCGTGCGCAAGGTGATCACAAATCCTTAATAAAATAACCTTGTTCAAGGTAGCCACAAATCCTTGACAAAAATTATACCAGCATAACACCATTTGCAGATTAAGCTAAACTAATTTTGTCTAGGATCTTCCATGTTGTCAAATAACTGATGAAATCTTTGTCTTACAGTTGTGGCATCTCCAACAACGTGAAAACTTCTTGAACATTTATTTTTCTTAAATTTATAGCATTGTCATAAATCTCCTTTTCATTCCTATCCCTTAATCTCTGTAATAATAAAATGTGAACATGTTAGTTTTCAATAAAATCTGAAAATACTAATTGATAAAGTTTTACCTTC